CCTCCCCCTCCTTCCCCTCCCCGCCACGCCACGCCACAAGCCAGTCATAAAGAAGAGAAGGGAATTCCGTTGACTTCATTGTGCAATGTCTGTGTCCGTCCTTTGACCTTGAGGTTTGCACTGGGTGGTTGGCAGGTGCTGTGGTCTTCTTTCCTATCAAACATCTCTCCTCCTTCTTTTTTCTGTTTGTTACTCTCTTATAACACCTCTATTCTTCGGCACTTGTATGACCTTATTGTGTTGCAAATGCGGTAAAACTCTTACTAAAAAACTCTCTTTCTCTCTCTCTCTCTCTCCCTCTCTGTCTCTCTCTCTCTCTCTCTCTCTCTCTCTCTCTCTCCCCCTCTCCCTCCCTGCTGTTAACAATTTATGACTTGTTGTTTTCAGTACCTGATCAAAGTCAACGAGATTCGAACCAAGAAAGGCTCAGACTTGCTGCAGTCGCTGGCGGAGTACTACCAGGTTCAGGCAAAGTAAGTGTTGTGGGTGGGTGGTTGGAGGGTGTCACTGGTAGGTCTTACTTCTTTACTTTCCCCTCTGTTGTTTCGGTCTGTGTGGGTGGTTGGAGAGTGTCACTAGATTTTAAAAATTTATTTGTGGATTGTTGGCGGGTGCTCTGGTGTGGTTTGCTCCTTCTCTCCTATCAAACATCTATCACACTTATCTCTCCTCCTTCTTTTTTGGTGTTTGTTACTCTCTTGTAACACTTCTAATCTTCGGCACTTATATGACCTTGTTGTGTTGCAAGAGCCTTAAAACTCTTACTAAAACTAAACATTTATCCCCCTCCCTCCCTCCCCTCCCCAGTTTTTTCCGCGACGGTCTGCGCACCATCCAGCACTTCCACGACTTTGTGGAGGAGCTGCTCAAACAGCTGCAGAAGATCCGACAGAGACAGGACGCGGAGAAACGACAGCTGGTGGAGCTGAGGGAGGCGTTGAAGAACTCCATGACTTCTTATAAAGAGGTAGGGAGGGAGGAAGGGAGGGAGGGAGGAAGGGAGGGAGGGAGAGAGAAACGACAGCTGGTGGAGGTTCGAATCCGGATAACGACTGAAATTTTTCTTCTCTAAGATTGTCTCCTTTCAACTCCTTTCCTGCTCTCTAGCATTGTTCTGTCATCTGTTTTCCTCTCCACTTTCTGTCCCCACCCCCACCTCCTTTGCCCCCTCCTCTGGGCTTCTGACTCTTTCTGCAGCCTTTCTACTGCTACTCCATGGCTCCTTCTTACTGCTATCTTTCAGCCGCACCCCTGATCTTCTGGTAGGAAAGATCTACACCTAGCCTTCTTGGACAAGTGCGAAAAATCATCTCGAAGAACCCATGTGCAAGTTGCGCACGTTAAAGATCCCTTGGTGGTCCAAAATCGCTTCAAAATTTCCTACCAACTAAAATGTTTAATGTGTCCCGTGCGCTCATATGACCTTATGCAGTTGCAAGCACAGTAAAACGCTTACCGCAAAAATACCAAAGAAAAACACCTTTCATCCTTATCTCTCTACTCCTCCTTTTGTTGGTACGTTACACTCTAGTAACCGCCTGTGGGTGGTTGGTGGGTGCTCTGGTGTGGTTTGCTCCTTCTTTCCTATCGAACATCTATCGTCCTTATCTGCGCTCCCTTCTTTTTTTGTGTTTGTTACTCTCTTGTAGCACCTCTTATCGTCGGCACTTATATGACCTTATTGTGTTGCAAATGCTGTAAAACTCTTACTTAAACGGAAAACTTTCTCTCCCCCCTCCCCCCCTCCCCCCTCATGCTGCTGCAGACTAACAGATTCTCTGGCTCAGGATGGGTACAGCATTCACATTTTTTCCTCTTCTGCATTTTGCCCTCACGTTACCGTTATTGTTTTGTGTTTTTTTTTGCAGTATGACTTCCGTTTTGGGCTTGTTTTTTTGTTTTGTTTTTGTTTTTGTTTTTATTTTGGTTATTGTTTTTGTTTATTTTGTAATCTGTATTGATGTATACCCCACTCACAGCGGCTGGATGATTTGATTGTGTGCTTCAAGATTCCTGTATGTCGATGTCGATGCAGTGGGCATGCAACCACCAAATACATATCTATATATATGTGTGTCACGCGCGACGCGGTCGAATCAGGCGCTCGTCCGTTATTGGGCATGTGGAGTTGTTGGTATCGTCATAAAGCCTGTTCATTTGTCTTGCTTTGTTGAAAAAATTACATATTACACATCTATCTGGAATAGGAGTCGAGACATTTGCTATTGACGGAGATGGTGTTGCTGGGTTTCGGAAGTAAAATTAGCGAGAAAATGGCCGACAAAGTTTGGGGACTACGAGTCCTTGGAAAATGCAAATTTACATCTTTTGTGCCTTTGATCAATGTTTTTCAGTAAAATCCACACTTGAATGTGTTTTTAAATGAACATTAAGGATGTTGAGCCTAAAAAAGATAAAATTCGGAAAAAATTACTCAACGTCCATAAAAAAATGCAGATTTTAACAATTTCGTTATTTTGACGAGCGCCTGATTTCACCACGCTGCCTCACGTTTGTTGTATTACTGGCGAGCTGGTAAATGTGGTTTCTTAGGAGACTGCTAAGAGTATCGTGGAAGGAAAAGAAATCAAATGAGGTAGTGCTTGATGAAGTCACGTGGGACGCTCACTGTTAAAAACAATCAGGAAACGACAAATGCAGTTTTTGGGACACCTGAATAGACATAAGGGTCTTGAACATCTAGCTCTCACTGGCAAAATTGAGGGCAAGCGAGGCTGGGGTGGGCCCAGCAGACCTTATGCAGTTGTGAGCGCCGTAAAACCTTACTAAAACTAACTAGGCCCAGAACAACATACTTAGGGAACCTAAACAAATGGGTAACAGGAAAAGATTAGGGAAACGTAGCTTTTTTGAGAGCATCCGAGCAAAGGAATGAATGGAGAACCATAATCGCCGATGTCTGTCGCTGATCTGGCACTGGATGATGACTGGCGAGCTAGTGAAATGTCCTAAGCCTAGAGAGCAACATTTGTCAGGAAAGGGCAAAAACTGTTTTATTATGAAACAACTACTGTACCTACTTTATGTATTCATTTTTCTTTTTTTTCAACATTTAATTTAGGATTTGAATTGCAAACAATATCACAGTTCTATTGTTTGAATAACTGAAAAGATTTAATCTTTCTTAAACTCTTAAAGTCGCCTAGAAACTGACCCTGTGGTCACCCCCCAAAAATCGGGCAAAGTTAGTCTGAAGAACAGGGATGGAAATTTTCCGTAAATTTAAGGAAATCCGTAATTTTTATTTGCTCCCTCCTTTTCCGTAAGTGGGACGTGACGTCCTACTTTCAGTTGTGAGTCATTTTACTATGTGGACTAATCTACAAATGAATAAGTGTAATTGTCCAATTCTGTATAGCCCGCGAAAAGTTCCGTAAATTTTGGACTGATCAGCTTCCATCTCTGGGAGAAAATGTGGGAGCTTGAGGAAGGTCTCGGATAATTCCAATGTGGTTTTGTCATAAAAGATCTACTTTAAAAACATAAAAAATTCAGATATTTGCATGCAAGTTTCTAGTCCAATGGGGATGACGGCGAAGATAAGAATAATAATAATAATAATAATAAATAGCATTTATACTGCGCATTTCCATTTTCTAAATGATGCTTAATGCGCATTACAACGAAAAAGACATCACTTTTTAAAAATTAATGGACATGCGTGTACGTAAAACAAAATATGATGATGATAAGGATGATGATGAAGATGATGATGACGATGATGATGATGATGATGAAGATGATGATGATGGTAATGCTGTGTGTGTTGTTTTTGCAAGGAATGTTGTCTGTTGCTTCAGTAGTACTCGGTGGTTCTGTTGC